TTCGCCGCCGGCGCCTCAGCCCCTGGTGCGGCTGCTGCCTTCGCGCTGCCTCGTCCCTCTCCGCCATCTTGTACCGATTTAAAATTAACTCCCCACTGACGTCAAACGCCGCCGCCGCTTTATCAACCTCCCGGGAGCCGGCGGGGCGGCCAGCGGGTCCTAGCGCCGCCCTCAGCCCGCGCCTCCCTGTGCTGCCCCCGCCCCCGTCCCGCCCATCCGCTCCCTCACTCCGCCTCCGCCCCGCAGACGTGCGACGGGGATTTCTCCGCCCAGCGTTTCTGGCAGGAATGGGGGCGCGCCACCTCCCTCGCCGCGGTCTAACACGCCCACCTTTCTGAGCTACCTACCACACCCCCTTAGCTCTCGGCTGGATTGTGTAAACCGATAAGGCATCTCTGAGGACCAAGTTCTTCCTTCCCAATTCAGTTCCCCAATTCTATTTACATCTCTAGTGTTGGTTCGTGCCCTGCACGTGAGGTTGCGTTCACACCCCTTTCCTTCTCGCCTTTCCATTCCCACGACCGCCTCCGCAGCTGTTCCCCTTGTCGCCCTCTCCACCCAGCAAATTGTTGCTTGTGCTCTTCTTTTTATCTTTTCGTCACCCGTGCAAGTCCGTACTGTTGTTTTCTCTCCCACCACCATCATACAGTTTGTTTGCACTAGCTTCCCATCTCCCCATTACCTAGGAGATTCTCCTCTGATTTCTTAACTGCGCGTACCATAACCTTACCCTCCTGTTCTTGGCACTCTGCAGGGGCAAACCAGAAAGCACTCTGATCAGATAATGAATTGTAGTAGGTTCTTTCTGAACTGTGATGAACCTTCTTGTGGGGATCCAGTGACATCCTACAGAAAGTTCAGGTGACTTTTTGAAATAATTGTCAACCTGTGGTAGCATCTGCGAAACATGGTCTCTATTCTCTTGGATTTTTACCACATCCTCAGCTTCATTAGAAACTCCTTTTCTCTGGGTAAAAACAGGTGTCCACGTATTCAAATAAATGCCTTGTTCAGGTCTTCTCATAATCTGAAGCTCACAGCCTTTCATCCTGCATGATCTTTAGAAAAACATTGGTGTCATAGAAGCTTGCAGGGGACCATTCTAGAGGGACTTTTCTTGGGCTGTTGGGGATTGTTTAGTCATCTGTTTTCTGTCTTTACCACTAAGGGAAGAGATTGAGAGCTCCTTCTGATTTTCCTGGAGAAGTCTAAGCAGCTACTTGTCTGATGAAGTGTTTTCTTTCATCCATCTCCTATGTGATATCTATTTAATATTGTCCAGTCTGCTTTGTGCAAGGCATCATCTTGGGCATAAGAGAAGATGCAAAGATAATATTTTTACCTTCCATTCACTATTAGCAGTTAACATAGCACTGAGCATACCCCATCAATGATCCTGGGAAAGTTAGGGTGATTCCCAAGGTTGCACTGCTGACCAGTTGGTCACCTAACTAGTGTCCTCTCTGCTATTAGACACTGTTAGTCTCATAGGTTGCTACTAAGTGCCCCAACAAATTCACAGCTCCTAACTCCAAAAAGCCAAATGCAAGCAGGCAAGAGAATGATCATTGGTCCCACCAACACCTCAAGTTCATGTTTTAAGAGTTTTCTTCCATTTTTCCTACATTAGTTATCTCTCCTCGATTTCTTATCACAGTGAAACCTCAACATTATTCCAGACTTCTCTCCTTTCTTTTTTTTTTAAGAGAGAGAGAGAGAAAGAGAGAGAACTTTTTTTAATATTTATTTTTTAGTTTTTCAGCGAACACAACATCTTCCTTTGTATGTGGTGCTGAGGATCGAACCCGGGCTACACAATATTGCATGCCAGGCCAGCGAAATACCGCTTGAGCCACATCCCCAGCCCTTTTCTCCTTTCTTCTACACCCAAAAGTCCCATGTGAAGTCAATTCTGACTTCTGAATTTCTCCTTTGCTCACCTCCTCTATCCCCTGAATCTCCTTCTTGATTCATCAGCTCCCACTAGACATACCGTAAAAACTGGTTGTCCTCCTTTGGGTCCTCCACACAGCCTCCAGTTTGAGTTTTCTTACATGCAGATTTGATCATGTGGTCTATCTTCTGCAAATTAAATCAAGTTCTTCAGAATAGTTGGCAGCCAATCCCTAAAAAACAAATGCCGAATGTCTTCTCTGATATACGGGGAGTGACTCAAAATGGGATAGGGAGGAAGAGCATGAGAAGAAGACTACCACTAAATAGGGAAGAGAGGTGGGAGGGAAAAAGAGGGAAAGGGGAGTTGCACAGAAGATGGAAGGAGAACCTCATCATTATACAGAATATATGTATGATGTTGTGATGAGAAAAAGAAAAAAAAGTGTGTCACATTAGATTGGATAGAGAGAAATGATGGGAGGGGAGGGGAGGAGTAGGGGGGATAGGAAGGGCAGCAGAATAGAATAGACATTATGATTGCTGTATGTATATAGGTGACTCTATGACCAATGTGATTCTGCAATCTGTACAATTAGAAAAATGAGAAATTATACCCCAATGATTCAAATGTATGAATTGCCAAGATCATTGCAATATCATGTGTAGCTAAAAAAATAAAAATGAAAAAAAAGAATAGTTGGCAAAGTCTTTTGATTCAGCCACTACCATATATTGAGCCTCCTTCTTCACCATTTTTTCATGTGTTAATTTAACAGATAAATCTTGACTCTGTTGTAGGTTCTGAAGAGACAAATAATGAACAAGACAAAATGGGTTTCCTTGGGTTTTGTCTCTTTCCAAACCCCACACAGAGCCCTCCATGATAAGAGAGTAACTCGGAAGCTCAAAGGTCTGTCTTGCTCAGAGTTATCTCTGATGTCTAGACAATGCCTGGTATATAGTAGAGTCTCAATCAAAACCCGTGGAATGAACAAATGAGTAAATAAATGAATGATTCTACCACTAATTGACCTGATGCTTCTAAACTTCTAAAATCCTCACCTTTTTTTTTACAATTAATAGATTTTTAAAAAAAATTTAGTTGTCAGTGTACCTTTATTTTAATTTTATGTGGTGCTAAAAATTGAATCCAGTGCCTCACACATGCTAGACAAGTGCTGTACCACTAAAATACAACCCCAGCCCAATTAACAGCATTTTTATGGGATCAAATCAAACAATGGATGGAGAGCATTTTCTTGATTGAGAACATTTCTTGGGGCTGGGGATGTGGTTCAAGCGGTAGTGCGCTCACCTGGCATGCGTGTGGCCCGGGTTCCATCCTCAGCACCACATACAAACAAAGATGTTGTGTACGCCAAAAACTGAAAAATAAATATTGAAATTCTCTCTTTCTCCCTCTCTCTCTCTCTCAAAAAAAAAATTTCTTGACTATAAACAGCTAACATTTATGGAATGTTCACTCTTCCAGGCACCATTCAAAATACTTTATATATGTTACCATTTAACCTTTATAACAATCCTAAGGGGTAAATTCTATTACTAGTCTCATAGATAGAGAAACAGAGGATCGGAGATCAAATAACCTGCTTAAGTGGCAGGTGTGGCATTCAAAGACAGGCAATCTGATTACAGAACTTGTGCTCATTCCCACTGTGATAGTGTTTACAAACTATGAGTGTCTGGAGAGCAGAATCCATAGCTTAACCACACCAGGGACTCTGGTATATATATTTTCCCATGAGGGGGAAAATCAGCAGAAGACATCCACAGAATGAAAAGTTTTTAAAATGGTCCTTAAACAAATAAAAAATGTTTACTTTCTCTCATAAAAAGAGTATCGCAGACAAAAACAACACTAAGAATCCACTCATCCATTTGGCAAAAACTCAAAAGCTTATGATTACAGTGTGTTGGACAAGGTGTGGGAAAAAGTTACTCTCATACACTGAGAATGCTAAATGATATGTCTCCTATAGAAAGGAATTTGCAATAACCAACAAAGCTATTTTGCTTTTACTTCAACCCACTAATCTCACTTCTGAGCATTTACCCTGTAGATACAATCCAACAGTACCAAAAAATACATTTACAGAAGGTTATTCATTGCCACATTATTTGCTGTTGCAAAACATTGCAAACTATGTAAATGTTCAAGCATAAGTGGTTGTTTAAAATACTCTATGATAAATACTCATGATGGACCATTTTGCAGCTGTTATACAGGGGAAAAAAGGAAGATCTTTATGAATTGATATCAAGTAATTTCCATGAAATTTTCTTAAGTGGAAAAAGCAAAAGGGCATATTGGTATGCTACCATTTTTGTGAAGAGAAGAAATAACAAAGTATACATATATCTATTTATCTATAGAAAAAGACATAACATACTATTCCAAAGAGGGGGAAAAAAGAAAGACAACCAATCCAAGTAATTTGAAAATATACTATTAAATCATAAATATGTCTCACTCTTGTGCAGAATCAGGAGAGAACAGAAAAAAAATCAGGCCCCTTTTTAGTAGGCTTGTTTTCATAGAGATAACAGGCGAAGTAGTTCTGAACTTATTTTAGATGTACTATGGTATTGAGCAAATTAGTGACTATTGGGGCTGGGGATGTGGCTCAAGCGGTAGCA